TGGTCTTCCTCTTTGCTCTCATGAGTTGGCTAGTGCTTTTCCGTCACACCATCATCCACCGTGTGCTGTCGCTCTATGACATCACTGACATGAGTTACAAACTCCTGCTAGTAGCCATCGCTGCGCTAAACTTCTTCATATGCTTCTTACTCGAGGTACAAACAAACAAACACATGCACTGTGCACATCTAACAAAAATACATCCGAAACACACTCTTAGTAACTCATCTTTTATTCTTTTTTATATCCACAGTTTTTCATTGACCAAGGTGCCCTGAACTGCCTTCGAAACCTCAGAGGAAAACGCGAGTCCAAAAAGCAGTACAAGCGTCTGAACGTCCAGCTTACAGAAACACCGTCATGGCCGCCGCTGAACCAGCCTTTGTTCCCTTCACAGAGCTCCGTCATCAGCATTAGCTAACCCCGGCCTCCACTTTAGCATTTGGGGCTCTCCTGATACACATTTCCAGGGTCGCCAAAGATCTGATACCACGTCTCAGTGCCGTAGTGAGGTATGAGTACCAGATGCCATACTTGTCTGCCTATTATATATGGCGCAAAACTTCTGATGCAGAAACCAGAGTGAGGTAAAGATCACTTTTGGAGATCGTGTTTCTTATTTTAATGAATAAAAACTTTTGAGTATTTTTTTTTGGTGTACTGATTTAATTTAGAAGAGCACTGGAAAGAGATTGCTTGAGGTTTATGCAATTTATATATGCAAGTGATCGCTAGGGCTGCGCGATTCAGGGAAAATATCTAATTCCAATTTTAAAAAATAAATTACATTTTTTTTATTATAAATTTTTTTATTTATTTTTTATTGCAGTTTCGATTTGATTTACGATTAAATCTTGTAGTCGAGCTTTAGCTAAATATTCTGTTGCTTCTTACTGCTAAAATGCAGCGTGTGTTAGCTTAAAAAAACAAACTAAAAAGATATTAACTTACTCCAACTTCTTTTCGAATTAGTTTTTAAACATTCAGAAATTAAACGCTCATTTTTCTGTAGAGCAAAGGTGGTGAGTTATGGCCTTAGTTATCTCCTGGTGGCTTCGTGTTGTTTTAACAGCCGCAAACAACTCTGATATTGTACTTTGCTGTTGCTAGCTACTATAATGTGTGTCACTGGCCATATGTTTAGTTGACTTTTTAGCAAGACACTACTCAGATAGCTGTGGTGCTTTTTTGGGTGCTGGTTGTTGTATTTCCTCATGCTGTGGCAACAATTCTGCAATAGCTCTATCAAATAACCAGTTTTTGTTTGATTTCTGAGACTTTGAAAGCCAAATATTTCCATGTTACCGACGTGCTGTTTTTCTTGGATTTCACTTGTTCAGGCTTTCCTCTTTGTTTTATTGTGGGCGTTCCGCATAGTCCAGTCACACAATTCTGATTGGGCTTAACAAAAGTGTGCTCAGCTGCTCACTCAATTGGATAGTAAGACTGTCACACACAGACGACAGTTACACATTTACTCTGGATGGAGAAAATTATATAGTACATATATATTTCATATCGTAGCCTCTTGCAATTAGCTAATTGCAACGTTTTAAATTGCAATTGTGATTCGATTTTGATTAATCGCCCTAGTGATCGGTTCATACCTAAAAAAAATGTAAAGTCTTGAGAAGTAAACAAAAGAGTTTAAAATGCTGAACACTTTGTTTAACATATTAAAAAAAATTGTTGAGTACATGCTATTTAAAGGGATAGTTCAACCCCTCAAAAATAAAAATTCTGTCGGCAATGGTGTAGTGGTTAGTGCGTTGACACATGGTTCTCACAGCGACCCGAGTTCATTTTCCGCCTCGAGGTCAATGCCAATCCTTTCCCTCTATGCTTCCCACACTTTCCTGTCAAATACTCTCTACCATCCTATACATTAAAAGGTAAAAACCACGAAAAAAGTATTATTAAAAATAATAATAAAAAATTTTAAATTCTGCCACCATTTAACCACCTCTGACTTTTTTATTTATTTATTTTTTTAACAGAAATTTGGTTAGAAGATGTTACAAACTGCTAACCATTGACCATTTAAAACCATCGACTTCCATAGTAGGAAAGACAAATACTATAGAAATCAATGGTTACCGTTTCCCAACATTTGTTGAAATTTATTCTTGTGTATTCAACAGAACAAAAATAAGCTCAAATAGGTTTGGAACAAGTCAGGGTGGAGTAAATGATGACAGAATTTTCTTTCTTTTATTCCTTTAATTTTGGCTAATTTTATCTTAATTTGCACATTAAGCAAAATTATGATTATTTTTTTCCTTTCCTGTTTGATGTACAGGGTGGGCCATTTATATGGATACATCTTAATAAACTTATTGGGAATTTCACAAGAAAAACAATGGCGTACTTGGTTTTAAACGTAACTTTATTCTTTCATGAGTTATTTACAAGCTCCCTCACAAATACTAATGTGCCACAAACAGGAGGTTAATATAACCAACCATTCCCATTTTATTAAGGTGTATCCATGTACATGGCCCACCCTGTAATGTAACATTTTCTATTATAGTTTTCCCAAAATTGAATTTATTTAAATATGAATTTCATGGATAATAATGGTGTCGTTTTCAAAAATATTGAATTTGAAAACATATTGAAAATAATACATGAAAATGTAAGTAGTTTTAAGTGTTTAGCCTATATGAGCCCTGAAAAACAAACCTTTATCCTATAGACCATTATTCCTTGAGCAAATCAATTCGGCACACTGTCATATGACAGTAACTGCCCTTCAAGTTAGTTACAACGATTATGAAAAAACATAAATCGAGATGAAATGATTATTGCATCATATACCGGCCCCTTTCCAGTTGTACAAGTGTTGCTCTGTAAAGCTCTGTTTCACATGAAAATGACTAAGAGCATGTGCTGTAATGCAACAGATTACGTGTAACAGATGCGCATCATTCATTGGTGTACATTCAAAGCATTCATTTTTTTAACAGCGCAAAAGAGATCGCATACTGTGTGTGCGCGCGCTCAGCCTCAGGGATGAGCAGTGCACACACATCTGAAGTCATCTTAATGCGAGCGCTTTAATGGTCAAATAGATGCAAATTTGTGTCAAAATGCTGTGTTTAGTGATTCATATTAACCCTCATTTAGGTAATAAACAAACAAGAATCAAAAGACATGTCAAAGTGAAACCATAAATCACAACCGCACTGCCCTTAAAGTGACTGCGCAATATGCCTACTGACGACTGTTTTTGTCATTAATCAAACAACAAAAGGAGAAAGTCACTCACTGTTCTTGACTGAAGGACTTTTGTAGCTGTAATTAAAGTTTTTTTCTTACAGTGAAGATGCTTACAGCAGTTTGTTTCATTTTTATTCTATTGTATTAGTTCCCTTTCCTTATTTACAGGGAGGAAAATAACTGTATATACAGCTGAAGTCAAAATTATTAGCCCTCCTGAATTATTAGCAACTAAACAATAGTTTTAATAACTCATATCTAATAATTGATTTATTTTATATGTACTATGATGACAGAACATAATATTTGACTACATATTTTTCAAAATACAAGTATTCAGCTTAAAGTGCAATCCAAATGCCATATTAGGGTAATTAGGCCAGTTATTGTATAACAGTGGTTTTTTATGCAGCCAAAAAATATAAAAAAACAAAAACAAATATTGCTTAAGAGGTCTAATAATATTGACCCTAGGTTTCAAAATATTTAAACCTGCTTTTATTCTAGCCAATACAAATAAGAAGGAAAAAATATAGGAAATACTGCAAAAATATTCCATTTGAATCAGGAAATATTCATTAAAAAAATTCACAGGAGGGCGAATAATTTTGACTTCAACTGTATATCTAATTTATACAATTATGACTAAAATAATCATGATAGTTTTTTTCTCATAATCGAGCAGCCCTGCTTATAGATGTATTATACATTATGCACTCCTTTACAGAATCTTTCCAGTCAGTCTAAAATGATAGATTCTTCACAAGCATTATTCAACTCCTCTAGTGAAATTGTATTCATGTCACAATATATATCGCAGAATAAAAAAAAATATAGCAATGTTCGATTTTTCCAATATCCTGCAGCCAGGATAACCATAAAACCATATTTGTTATTAGTAATATGCCTTGCTAAGCACTTCATTTACACTTTAAAGTAGATAACCCGGTCAAATAGTGTCCTAAACCATAAGTCAACATTAAGCTCATTTACAATATGTATACATTTCAATATCAAAACATTGACAGTTATGATGGTTTTGTGGTCCAGAGTCACATTTAAAAAGTGGATTAACATAAGATTAAACATTTAACAAACAGTATCCAGAGGCATTATTTAAAAAGTCTTTATTAAATGGGCATTTTGAAAAGTATTTACAGGCAGATTTCTGTGTTTTCAGGCAGGGCATGACAAACCCGTCTGGTCTGATTTTTTTACAGCACAATGGGTGAACGATGACACGTCAGATTAAAGGGTATTTTCATAAACTGCAGGAGTTATGAGATTTCATTCGTGGACAGCACAGAAAAGTAAATTAGAAAAAGAAATAAACAGGGAGTTACAGTCAAGAAAAGTAGTAGTATGGCTCCTCATATATAGACACTGTATTGCAAGAGCCAAAGCAACTAGATCAACTGACTTAACACTTTCAATAACAAGTTGCTTAGTTAAGCCACTGGTGCGGCGCACACACACACACACATTTCTCTTAGGTTTCAATAAACATTAAATAAACTCTTATAGGATATTCTGTAGTCATAGATGAGTTTTCAAATGATCTTGAAGCCATACTTCATCATGTACGCTTAACATTGCACCATCATTCAGTTAAAAAAAACAACAAAAAAAAACCTATCCAGCAATACACAACTTCATTCATTCGCTCATAATTCCTCACAACAACCTGAGTTCCTACATAAGTAAATAAATCAAAAAGAGAGAGAAGAAAATGGCCAACAGCAGATTTAAGAAAGTGAGACGAGGGAAGCCAGCAAAACCTGTTTTTTTTTTTTATCTCTCCTCGTTTCACCCTCTCTTCAGTTCTTCCCAGCACGACAAATATTTACACAACTCATCTTTTCCGTTAAAATGCACAGGTCTAAAAACGACTACCTTTAAATCATATTATAAAAGGCATAGAAACGGCTTAAAAATGTGATTGTTGCACTCGTTTAACTCTCTACTTATGTTTTTGTTTTTATTCGTTTTACTTTATGTAGAAATCAGGACAGTCAGAGGAAGACCCATGAATAAAACATAAGAAAAACAACAACAGATAACCGTAAACAATAAAGAAAGTCAGCTCGAGTTTCCACAACATACCTTCCTTACCCATTTAAAAACATATGGCAATTAGCAGACCGGTAATAACCAAAATAATTAAAACAAAAGACAAACACAAGCAATACAAAAAGCTGGAGAGAACAGTGTGGAAGGGAGGTTTGAGTAATTGGTGAGATTTCTAGAATTATTGCTGAAGGAAGCTGGTGCCTTTCTTCTGTTGCTTCTAGCACGCTTGTTTCTTCCATCCCAAATGTCTTTTCAGAGGATTTTGCTTACATGAGGTGAGGAAGGGACGATAGTTCTGTTTCATTTCTCTCCATTTTCATTTAATTTTTAAGGGATTTCGTTGGGGCTGGACATCACAGTGAGCAGTGTCCGGAGGCGAGGTCCTCATCACAGTGTAAAAAGCAGGGAAAGTTTCCCACATCTGCTTCGCTAGATCGTGTTTCTTTCCCCCGGTACATTCCACACAGGCCGTGCTGGATTCGAGAGGGTTTTTTATATTTCTTTGAAGAACATCCCACATCCTAAATATTGATAAAAATGATTTGAATTTAAACCCTAATCTGGGAGACCCTCGCTCGCCTCTTCTGGTCTCCCAGGAAAGGCTGTTATTCCTATCTGCGCTGGTGGTGAAAGCCTTGTGTACCGTCTGGACCTGCTGGCTGTCGAACCACATGGTTTCCTGGTCTGTTTTCCTCTGAAAGTGTATGGCTGCTTCCCCGTGGAGATCTGGTTGAAGATAGACAATGTGTAAAATGTACAAATTAAAGCACTTTGTTTTTTTGTTTGTAGCAGTTATGGCTGAAGCCTTAGATCTAAAATAGAGCTGTGGTGGAAAATTGTTCCAGAAATCAATTTTTAGTTTTTTTAAAATGCACCGCTGTTCTGTTTTGAATTGATCCTGAGCTTGATTTTTAAATCTAATATCAATATACTTCTAGATTCCCATGGTTGCACATTTCTGCTGTGTGATTGGCCCTTAGATCAATAAGATAAAAAAAAAGTAAAAAAAAGTCCAGAGCTTATCATTGTTGGCATCATTGGCAATCTGATATAATATAATTTATCCCTAGTATATAGAGATAAAAGCCAAGTATATGCATGTCCCTATCACAGAGAAGTGCAATAAATTAAGTTAATTTTATGTGCAGCATGCACAGGTTATCCAAATCTGACCAATCAGATGGGGCCTTTACTTTACCTCTGACAACAGCCAAAAAGAATCAGACTTTCAGTCATTCATGGTGTTTTAAAGTCGAAATGTTTGTACATTAATATAGTTTTTAATTTTTACATTAAATTATTTCAGAAAAATATCTATTACCTGTTGATTTTAGTATGAACATTACATAAATGATGTTTATAAATTGCTGATAAAATAGCGTTTTGCATGTTAGTTATATCATATTAAATATGGAGATTAGCAATCATCACATATTTTCCCGGTATCGTGCAACCCTATTTTAATGTCTATCTTTTTAAAATCCATTTAATGACAACTTTTAGTAGTAGTAAATTACAGTTTTCACAAAATTACTTAACAAAAAAAAACTGATCAAAAGAAATCTGTCGAGCAGAAAAATTAGCACATCAAAAGGATTTCTAATGGATCATGTGACACTGAAAACTGAAGCTTAAAGAGTGCAACAGACCGGTTCTAGATATAAAAACTCTTATTATTCTTTTACATTAACTAATATAAACCTTTAAACACAGATACATTGTGAGCTATAAGTTTTTTAATTGTTTGTATATATATTTGTACAGTTACAGTAGTTATTCATTCAATTCTTATAGTTAAATCGGTGGGCGTTGAATTTGAGCAGAGAAACTAGTTAACCCAAGATTAGGCCCACACGAAATCCGCAGATTTTTAGCCCATGATTGAGTCTATGTATTTACTTGTGTAAATTTTTCTCATTTACAGAATTTTTTTTTTTTTTTTTACAAAATTCTCCATAGAAATAGCAAAAAATGTCTAAAAATGTCCCTACCCATGAAGATATAAAAAAAAATCCATTAATCAGAGTAACAGCTTGCAAAACACTTTAGACCCACTTCCATAAAGCATTGCAAATGACTCAAAGATACAGCTTTATAATTCTTGTATATATGTACTGTATATATACACTTGCATATTTTTAATATGTATTTTTAAATTTCTCATTGGACTGTCACTCACTATACAACAGGAATTGTAGTTATTTCCCTCATTAGCTGTCAAGTACACTTTTTGTCAGATTTTCATATAATTATTTGCATCGCATCAAAGTTTGCTATGCAATTATTATTTATCATTGTGTTGTGATTCAACTTGTAACTTCAAGTTTACGAGTTGTTTCTAGTTCAAATATTTAAAAATTCTTAAAACAGGGAGCATTTTCTAGACAAGCAAAATATCGTCTTTTTCAGAAATAATAAGTCAAATTGAGAAAATGTCTACCAGGGTGAGAAAAAATATTTGAGAAATAAAATTATTAAGCTTACCCCATTGACAGATTATTAAGCTTGTTTTTGCTTGTCTAAATGCTTCTTGATTTACTAATTTTTAGACATTTGGACTAGAAACGAGACTCAATCTCTAAAGTAAAAAAGCAGTTTTTGCAGTGTAAAATACTCATGGGAAAAATACCTCCAAAACCTGCACGGCTGAAAAAGTGAGTGGACACTAATGCACTGCGTATAATCGCATACAGTGCTCAGCATATACAAGAACACCCTCATAAACCTCTCTTTTAAATTCATATTTTTAACAGGAAGCTATACAATATTATGTGTGCATATACATTAGATTAGTCAGTACTGAAGCCAAATCAGGAGCTTATCTAACAAAAGTACTTGCGTTAACAGTCAAAAAAAAAACTAGTACATCCACATTTATATGTTATAGAAAAACAAAATACAAATTTTAAAAAAGAGGAAAAATCAACAGAAGCCATTTTTTGCAATATTTTGCTTGAATTGAATTGTATTATCTTTTACTTTCTAAATATGTTTGGTGACTAAAATATTATTTTAATAAATATATCTGTTTAATAAATCTGTTTTGTTTAAATACACTAAAATACATTGCATATATTCACTGGTAAATGGAGAAAAATATTAATTTTCAAAATGGGGTGTCCTCAATTACGCTGAGTACTTTACATATATAGATGTCATGGAGGGAATCCATGGAAAAGTTTATAGAAGATCACTCAAAATCAGTGTTCGCTGTCAGAGCCTCTATATATGGCGGGTCAGTATTTTTACCGGTCTGAATTGGGTCTCTCCTGTGGCGTGTCATCAGGAGTTGCACTGCCGAGGATTCTCTTCCTGGCCTCTGCGTATTCTGCCTCTCGCTGAGCTAAGGATTTCACTTGCGGGGAGGGTCGAGTCTGCAGCGCAGATGATCCTAAAGATCCATTACTGGAGGGTCGCTTCAAAATACGGATCTGAGGTGGGGGTGCGGCGGGGAGGGAATCGTCCTGAATTACGATTGCTGTTCTCATTGGAGAGCGACTCGAACTGCCACTTGAAAGTCTGATAGATCATCAAAAAAATGATTAGAGTACAAAAGGAGCACACTGAGAAAAACATAACATCATCTCTCAGGGATGACCACACATACCTTTCTTTTTGACTGATTCTAAGTTTTTCCTCTAGTCTCCTCTCCATTTCCTAAGTTCAAAGTCAACATAAAATTGTATTAACATTTGACAGAAGTAATACAGCATAAATCAATCTACCAAAACAGTAATAGATGAGACGCGATGAGGAGGGGCTTCTGAAGCAACAGCAAGTTTCAATTTCACAGAGTTATTTATACATCCTTAGTGCAGCGGCTAAATTAATGACAGGGCCGAATTACAGACTGCTGCTTGAGTAAGTAGACAATATGAGGTTTCTCTAAACAGACTTGGGGGAACGGTGTGTTTATGGAGCATAATGTTACTACAAGACAAAGGCTGAATCGCTGCAGAGAAAGTAGGATACTGGGGGAACAGTTTAGACTTCTGTCAAATAGCACATTCTGTCATTTCTTTGCACACATTTTAGTTCTTATCTGTTTTTTACACTGCTATATATGCAATCTATCACTGCATATTGCTCAAATACAGTATTATAAAGTTATGTAAATATATGAGACCACTTGATTTTCATTTACTGGATTTATTAGGTATAGGTCTGAGTAAAATGTTAGTACCTGTTTTATTCTAAAAAGGACTGATGACATTTTACTTCATACAAATATTAGACAATCATAACAAATGTTTTCAAGTATGATTGAAAATAAGGGTTATTGCCCCAAATATTAATTTCTTAACTTCTCTAAAGGTAAAATGCTGGACCAGTGACTCACTGAATATGAATCATGTCACATCCAATCACAAAACTGCGGTAAAGTTGATTTTACATTCACACATTCAGTTTCTCAATCATATATTTTCTGAAAAAGTTTTATTTTGCAAATTCTAAATAGTGAAATCATATTAGCAACAAACAACTATCAAGGTACAACATTATTCACAGTCAAATAAACTGTGCTTATGTTGTTTTCAAGTTATCCTTGCATGCTATTTCAGACTTAATATTCAAAGTGCCATGATTAACAATATAGGGAGCATGTCACAAGTTTACACTGAACTGAACTTTACCTCAATAAACAAGCACTGAAAATTTACATTCAACCATTTGGCAGACGAATTCAAAGCAAATTACAAATGACAAAAATAAAATTAATATTTATATATTTTTGGGGGGTTGAGTAATTAGTAGTTTACAAAATCAAACAAAAATGACATTTTGCACAAACTATAAACCATAAATCTTGTGAAAGATCTTAATGTAGTATTGTAATGCTCCCGATAGCTTTGTGTTTGTAAATAAAGAGAGAAACGCGAGGGAGATGTATAAGATACCAAAGGTACAAAAGTTTGCGATTCTTTTAGGACCTTTAAACAGAGATCAATTAATTTAATTACATTTTAATCAAACTTTAAAGGGATTTAACTATGAAAAAAGTTAATGTTTCGTATAATTACCTTAAAAGTTATATAAATAAATTAAAAATGCAATTTGCTGATATCTTGCACACCTGTAGGCAGAATAGTCTCAATTATCATTTACAAGACCCACACTTTACCATATCAGTTTTTGGATAAATCTTACATTTTAACACTAATTCAAAACAAAAACTAATAATGAGAAACTATATCTTCACTTGCAAACACACTGTCCCGGGCCAACATTTACGGCAAACCCCGACACACACTGAAACTTCAGAGAACCGCCTGTTGACTGTCTGAATGTGGACTATCCCACATACACACTCCGCTGCTTCCAAATCCTATTTCCGCATAAAATCGACTCGAAACATGATAAAACGACACTGTTACAGTCCTTTCGCTACGATACCCAAGTGGTATCGGCCCGTTTGTCAGCCATCTTTGGTTTCTTACGCGATGGCAAAGAACGATTTGTCTCCTTTATATTCAGCAGAAGTTACCCGGCTAAAACTAGCATTAGTTAGCAGCCAGTTTGGTTTCATTATGTCATCACCTTAAAGCACAGATTGTTATATACGGCGCACAACCGCGATGTTACACCACTTGTTATCTCTATTTTCCTTAAGTGATTTGAAGTAAAAATTATCCCACATCTGTTTCGGGACCAGTTTCCCTTTAACTGCGGCCTACCTCCCAACTCTACATACACAGGCGTGACTAGCGAGTTAGCATGAAGCCAGTGGTATGAATCAGCCTAATGCTCCATGCGAGGCTCTCCACACTGAAACGACACTTTGTGGAAGCGAGAGGAAAGCGCGGATATCGTATATTTACCCCGCTGTCGGCAGCCTCTTCCCAGCTCTCGGCGACCTCCTCATCATCCATGATTCCACTCTTGGCTAACTAGGGGCTTCCCTCAGTCCGCACGCTAACGCACATTTTCCCTCTACAGCGTCTGTGAGCCGCTTAGAGGCGAAATCTTGCACAGTAGCGCCACCTGCTGCAAGGAGGATAGACGAGCGTTTGTGGATCGTAGAAATACTTTATAAAAGTTCCAAACAAATCAGTAATTTCACTGCTATGAAGAGTTCAGATGCATAAACCTCTAGTCGTCTAAATTTCCTCATAAAATAAGTATGTTTTTCAGGTATGTGTTGAGGTGTTTCACTTTAAGCACATTGAGGACGGTTGCTAAGTGGTTAGCGCTGTCGACTCACAGCAAGAAGGTTGCTGGAGCCAGTTGGCATTTCTGTGTGGAGTTTGCATGTTCTCTCCATGTGTACTGGTTTTTTCCCACAGTCCAAAGACATGCTAGACCATTTTGAGGGATGTAAACAAAAACAAAGGTCCTAACGTATTTCTTGTTTTACATTTTTAAAATCTATAGCCTCTGAAAATATAAAAAGAGCTATATATATATATATATATATATATATATATATATATATATATATATATATATATATATATATATATATATATATATATATAATGTTATAATAGCTGTTTTAGCATTAAGTTATGATTAAATTGACTCTTGTTGTTACAGTTAAATAGTTTAATTACAAGCAGGAAATGTTCATGGGCCAATGACATGACCACATTGAAATGGTCTACAGGTGAATTGAACAAACTAAATTGGTCATATTGTGTGTGTGTGTGTGTGTGTGTGTGTGTGTGTGTGTGTATGTATGGGTATTTCTTAGTTCTAGGTTGCGACTGGAAGGGCATGCACTGCGTAAAACATGCTAGAATAGTTGGCAGTTCATTAGCCTGTGGCGACCTCTGAAATTGAGACTTAGCTGAAGGAAAATTAATGAATGGAAGTCCCTATAAAAATATAATTATTACTGAACCTTTACAAAAAAGGAGCCTGAGAAAAACGCTAACTTTAAAAGAAAATTTAGGTTGGCAACTCCTCACATATTAGACGACATTACCTGTTGATTTTATGTTCATGTATGGCCAAGATGATAACGAAGATCTAGAATGGTGAAAAAAATCATGATTTGAATGGCATGTGTTTTAGTCCCAGATGGGCTGGTCTGATTATTTTAGGGCTGCTGGTCTACAATGATCCTATATGGTTTACTACAAAGACAAATAATTGATAAAAATATCCAGTATAGATATATCCTGTGGTAATTCTATTGTTAAAAATGCTTTGTTGGTGCAAGAAATCAGAAGAAAGACCAGACTTGTTCAGCTGATATAAAGACAACATTAACAGCATTATATATGCCTCAGATGTTTTGTGGGCGGTGCTTGGTGTGACGTCTGAGGCAGAGACTATATTTTACTGTGTGTATCTCTACATTAACTGGTTGTGCACCTTTGATTAATCACAACTAAGTGCTTAATGTAAAGTAAAAGACAGTTGCATTCAGACACGTCTCAAAAGACAGAAGAGTACAAATTACTGGTGAGTATGATCTAAAATAGCTTTATGTGGAAACCTTTTGTGTCTTTATGCCACTATTTTCTGGTCTGTTTTGTGTCAGAGACAATGTGATAATTTAAGGGGAATTGATGAAAATTATGAGTTTTATGAGAGTTAGTACTTTTGAGTATAACTAAATTGGCCCACTTTTTAATTTATAAAATTACCATTTTAGTATTGTATGTGTAACAGTTGCAAACATTAGTAGTAGTACTAACAGCACATTTGAATAAACTTTTTTAAGGGCATCTAAGCAATGACTATCAATGAAAATGTTGCTCATATATTTTTACAGCATAGCCGTTCATTCAATTTAACTATTTTTTTAGAACAGGAGTTTAAACTGTTTTTTAGTGAGTCTGAAGAGCTTGATTAGCTTGTTCAAGTAGAAGCTAAAAGTGTTTGACTTGAGGCGGCCTTAAAGATGCAAATTTAAAAAAAGAACAATAAATTAGATAATTTTGCAAGTGTGCATTGCCATAATAAATTATCTGTAAAACATTGGGTTAAAGTTGAATTTGGAGTTGAAATATTTAGTGAAAAATGTGCAGCTACCACAAAGCTGAATGTGTATAATGCAGTACATAATAACATATCATGTGACCAGTGTTGCAAAAGCTGCATTATCACTCTGTGACCGCTTTGAAACCTGACAGTTGCAGATTCTTGAATCATCAAATTCATTTAGCAACAACAAAACAGACAGATCTAAAATAGACATTCAAATACTGGGCCCAAAAGTTTTACATATAACGCCCCATATACACTATTTTTGTGAACAGTTTTTAAACTGCTTATGTTTTATCAAAACTATAGTTATTAGACAAATATGGGTGAGAGAACAAGTGATGCGATGTGTCCAATCCAGGGTGTCCCATTACCAGAGCGGTAAGTGAAGTACTGGACAAGAGTGGAGCACTTCCAGGCGTCAAAGGAGGATTTGCTTATTGCAACTTATCCTAAAGCAGGTACAGAAGAGTGCAAAACAGTTCACAACTATGTAATAAAAACAACACTTTTAAATGACTTAAAAGAACACACTTTTTTTTTTTAAAGTTGGTTCATTTTACAAGTCTCCTTAAACAGTTGAGTTTTACAATTTTTTAAGTCTATTCAGCCGATCTCCTAGTCTGTCATAGGTCTCCCGGTCTATACTTAGCATAGCATAAATCTTTTAATCAGATTAGACTATTAGCATCTCACTCCAAAATTTTAAAAAAGTGTTTTAATAATTTCCTAGGTCAATAGGGGGATAAGAACTACAATCATTTTGCCATTAATATCAAGAAACTGTGTTGCAAACCATAGCTGCAGCAGGCGAAATTATATTATTCAGTGCTCTTAGCTAGCGACTATTTTTTTAACCGAGCAAGCGAGATGCTACTGGTCTAATTCGACTCAATAATGTATGCTAAGGGGCGACACCAACATAGGTTCATTCTAAAAACGTAGCCCTATTTACATTTCTGGAGATCACAAATTATGTACACTGTTAAAAATGTAGGGTTTCACACAATTCATTCATGTTGTCCCAATGCAAATTGATTAAGTTAACTTAACACTTTTAACAAATTTATGTGGATTACACATAAAAAAGATAAGTTGTCCCAATGAAATGTCAAAAACTGTTGTTTCAGCTCATTTTAAATAAGTAGTTTGAACAAGCAAAAACAAAAAAACTTTTTTTTTGAGTGTATCTATATGTATCTAGTGAATGGCTGCATTTCGTCTGTAAAACAAACACTATGGGGCGGTATGACGCCATACCTTTTCGGGTATACCAGCTGACCGCTTACCTCCGTATGGACGGCTCTTCCGCTGTTATCAGTTTGTCCAGTTAGCTGGCCATGTACGGCAGCGGACTTGAGATGCAAGGAGGAGTTGAACACAATGACAGGGTTTGAGTCCAGCGAAGAACAGTTCCAAAAAGCAGGTAAGACACAAACAAGTATAAATAACAAATAAAATAAACAAGTAAATAACAGGGTGAGAATGTGGTAAAATCTGAAAACGTGGTGAAAATCAGACAAGGGCTCTTCTTTTTCAGGGTTGCTTTTCAAAACTGTCGATTGGGTTGGGAGTGGGTGGGCGGGTTAATCAGTGCTTTTGAAAACACTGTTGGTTGGGTTTAGGGAAGGAGGAGGGTGGGTCAGTCAATCTGTCAGTCTGTCATTTAGTCATTCGACAGCAGTACATTTTCAGAATGAGCCTGGGTTGGGCGACATGGTGGCTCAGTGGTAAGTACTGGCACCTCACAGCAAAAAGGTCACTGGTTTGACTCCCGGCTGGGTCAGTTGGCATTTCTGTGTGGAGTTTGCATGTTCTCCTCCGGGTGCTCCAGTTTCCCCTACACCTATAGGTGAATTGAATAAATTAAATTGGTTGTAGTGTATATGCGTGAATAAGTGTGTATAGACGTTTCCCAGTAGTGAGTTGCATCTGGAAGGGCTGTGTAAAACATATGCTGGATAAGTTGGCGGTTTATTTTGCTGTGGCAACCCCTGATGAATAAAGAGACTAAGCTAAAGAAAATGAATGTATGCTAAGCTAAGGTCAAAGTGCTCCCACCAAACCCGGAGATCAGCTGAGTGGATTAAAAAATGGTAAACTCAACTAAGTTATAAAATGTGGAGTGTTCCTTTACAAAAGTGTCATGTCATCTGTAACAGGGACTACATGGACACAGGAAGTAGTGGATCAAATTCTGAATAATGAAGATGTTGAAAAATGTAAACGAGCCCCCACTCAGGTGCGCATGACATTGTTAGAGATGACCACTGCAGATGATCCAAGTGCAGGTATGCGTTTTAGAACCACAAACTGTTTGGCAATTTTACAAAATGTTTTTTAATGCATCTTAAATAATTAGCATTGTGTAACAATTTAGGTATAACCATGCCATACGGGTGAGTGATGCTATGGATCTCCCCATCCAACTTGTGCCTCATTCATTCTGGGAGGCTGGTTGCAAGGTTAAAAGAAAAAGAAATATCAAATATTAGAAGAATAAAAAATTAATAAGTAACCTTAATTTCTCCATAGGTTATATATGTGGCTTGTAATCCGAAAGACGTGTGTTTCATATTACCATTTAGACCACATGAATCTTAGCCAGCCAGAGCCTGGTCCTTGGAAACAATATCTGGAAAAGTTCATGACAGGGCAATGTGATTCATGCTGCTGTTTGTTTATTAAAGTCCAAGTGGAATCAAAATTTACTATGTTTATTTTGCTATTTCCTACGATTACTTTTGGTAATTTTCCGCATTTGGATTGGTTGTCCTTCTGTTGATGTCAACTTGAGGGCTTCAGCCACAATATCCTTAACCAGCACTTCTTACCGTTACTGTGCTAGAAGTGAATGATGTTCACAATACATGCTCTATATTCAAAGAATAATTTCAGTTGGATAAACATCAACATACTGAAATAAAATGCTTAGCAACTGACTTTAAATGTCAACCATAAATAAAGAAACATAAAGGAACTAAACTGTGCAGAGCTGCGGCACTCCAGGAACTGGATTTGACACCTGTGGGCCAAGACATACCTTATGTGACGAAATTAGTGTTTTGGGTTTTCCAATGGTTCTTTGTTGTTTCCTTTTATCTATTCGTTCCCTGTCTTTGCCTATCACATAGTGGCTTTTGGTTTCCTTCCCTGCATACTGCTACAGAAGCAGTGTTAGCATTAGCTGTTACACTTTTTAGGCTAATTATTTCAGACTTGACTTCAATAGGTTTTGGTAGCACATAGCACAAGGTAAAGGAATAAAACACCACAGACAGGGAGCAAATAGATAAAGAGAAACAACACAGTACACTTCATAATAAAAGCCAATAGATATTATAACATCTGACATATGTTGAAATCCTTTTGTTAGATGCAGGAGAATGGACGCAAGTAGTTAAGAACATACAACACAATCATGAGGAAAATACTGAATTGACGGATGAGCAGTAACTATCATGAACTCTCCTACAAAGATGGTGAGCCACAGAAGGTTATTAAAAAAAATAAAGTTCACTTTTTAAATTAAAAATAGAGAATTGAATGTCAATAATATTATTTTTCTTTTGTAATGTGTCTGTATTAAGCTGTTGATCGTAATGTTTTGGCTGATGAGTGTATTTTTTTCTTATCAAATGTCTTGAGCCCTGTGGTATCTAAGAAATTATGTTTGAGTTTTTCGCAACTTGTTTAATATACTGTAGCGAGCACACTGATGCCACGTCGCCCTGGTCACAAATTCACCCCAGCTGGAACCTCATCAGCTCCGGATCGCTCACAGCTGGACCTCATCAGCCAGGGAGAGATATAAGCCAGCCCCACACAGGAGGAAGACGAGCTTCATTTCCACATGACTCCCTGCGCTAACGCTTGTGTCTCTTTGTCTCTCCCACAGCCGACTCCAGCTCGTGACCGATCCAACACCAGAACTCTCACCATCCTTCACCATCTCCCCGGAGCACTTGAGCACGCACCCCAAGAAGAGCACCACTTTAATCACTATTTCACTTGTAAATAAAGCACCCTCCGGGGACTTGTTTGTAACTCAACTCAACTGTGTTTGTGTTTTCCCTCTGCCTCGCTACAATACCTATAATTTCATTACCCTGCTCATGAAGTTAACCACATTGCTCAATTCTTTGGACGGCAGTTATCAAAATCTACAATAGATCATATTGTCCAAATGACAACTTTTTCTGTTATGCGAAAAAAAAAAAAAAAAAAAAAAAATGGCAAGCTACTCAACTGTCCTTGATACAAAATTTGATCGTACTGTCTCAGAGTTCATGAGGAAAGGTGATTTTTGTTTTATTTTGAAGTAAAAAGTGATCAAATTAGACCTGCAGTTTATTTTTATTGCTGCCAAATGGGGTTTTAAAAATTTTTTTGTATTTATTTTATCCTACAGGTGAGGTTGGTGACTGACACTTTAGTGCTCAAGGGAAAGCTGCATTTGATGAACATTATCACATAATGATGATTGTCCTTTTCCAATACACTTCACTATTTAAAACAAACACATCATAAATGCTTATTTTTGTTTCATCCTGTACATTATTTGCAGCAATATCCAAGGCTGTTGTTGTGTGATGTCAAATTTATTGATTTTTATTTAGGCAAAAATCATTAGAATATTAAAGGAAAAATCATCTTTTATTTTTAGAGACAATTTGTAAAATTCCCAATATAAATAAATCAACACTTTTTGCGTGACTAAGAACATGATTTTGATATTTATGAAGGCAATATTCTTGATTTAATTTCCTTTTTGAATGCTTAGACTCCAGATTTTCAAATTGTTGTATCTCTTGCCGGGCGTCATGGTGCCTTAGTGGGTAGCACAATCGCCTCGCAACAAGAAGGTTGCTGGTTTGAGTGCCGATTGGGTCTGTTGGCATTTCTGTGTGGAGTTTGTATGTTCTCCCCGTGTTCGCATGGGTTTCCTTCGGGTGCTCCTGTATCCCCCACAAGTCCAAAGACATAGGTAAATTGAATAAGCTAAATTGGCTGTAGTGTATGTGTGTGTGCAAGAGTGTGTATTGGTGTTTCCCAGTGCTGGGTTGTGGCTGGAAGGGCATCCACTGTGTAAAACATATTAAATAAATGAATGCATCTCTTGCCGAAAATTGTCTCATAACAAACTTATGGTTTAGTGGTTCAATACCTCAGTTAGGCTTAGCTTAGATACTTATTAATATTTATTAGCATTGTGATGAGAACCACGACTGGGTGTTTATATATAATACAAGCCTGTGGCATTCAGACATATTACAAAAAATTACTAATCATATGTTATGATATCAGTAAACCATCAGTTAAGCTGTGGCATGAAACAGATTGTCGCTAATATTTTCACAGGCGTTCATTCTGTTTAAGTATTTTAGTAGCCCATCTATACTGTATTTCTAATTTGTAGGCCACCTCAAGTCAAACACCTGTTGGCTCAAAGCCTGCCCATACGGTTTCTAGCGAGTCTGACAACCTTGATTAGCTAATTAAAAAAAAAAATTAGAGAATAAGCTTTGAAAAGCTCCTGAGAAAGTGTGCATTCAAAATTATCAGAAAAATGCTGGGTTTTATTTGTGCATTTAATGCTCAGAAAGGGACAGATGGCTTTTTATGCTAGAAAATATGGCATCAGGTCTAATAATTACAGAAAGATTAGCACACTGGCTGTAGACAAACTAGGGCTTACATTCAGTTGTTAAAAGTAATCAGTCATGTAAATTAAGTCATTAAAGTCAGTTTATTATTATGTTTTTATTTGACTATAATTGTCATTAGCACATAAGAGCACATCTAATGAACTAGAGGTGAAGAACCGGCTATAGTTCACATATAAACAGAACAGACCATAAGATACAATTAAGCAAAAAATATTAAACTATTAAACTTTGTTGTGGAAATGTCTTTTCTGATTAAGAATAATGCTTTTAAAAGCTATTTAAAAAATTGTTATTAAAGAACAATGTGCTTAGGGTATTTCAAGTAGTGTTCAATTATTCTGCTGCACATTATACTAGTTAAAATTATCGAAAAATAATTTTGCAAGTTTTGACGTGTCATGCTAGGTTGCATATCGAAAGTGCGCAGACGAGCTGCGCAGTAGAAAGTGTTCAGACCAGTCCAACAAAACACATCACGTACCCTCCCTCTCTGCGTCAGGTCAAGGTTCTCAAGGTATTTGCTAATAATAATGAAATGATAAAAAATCGTATTCTTAGTTTAAAAATAAAGCATTATCATCGGCTATGTTGGTCAGGCAAAGCTAAAGGTTGCTAATTAAGGAAGGAAACTGGACGCCCAAGCTCTTATATAAAACTCGCTATTATCTGTTTTGGTGAACAAATATTAAAATGGCTATATATTAAATTACAGAGAAGGATTTGGAAAATATGAGCCGGAGAACAAGCGAAACTATTCGTCAAATTCAGGGTGTCCCATTTCCAGAGCGGATAGTCAAGTACTGGACAAGAGTGGAGCAGTTCCAGGCGTCAGAGGAGGATTTGCTCATTGCCACTTATCCTAAATCAGGTAGAGTACACAACCACTGAAAACAACAAAATGCTATGTAAATAATCTTTTAATAGTCATGTCGTCTGTAAAAGGGACTACATGGATACAGGAAGTCGTGGATCTAATTCTGAATGATGGAGATGTGGACAAGTGTAAGCGCGCCCCCACTCAGGTGCGCATGCCGTTTTTAGAGATGACCGCAGCAGATGGTTCAAACGCAGGTATGTTTAGATAAAACAACGGTTTTGTAACGTGTGTGTGTGCGTCTGTGTGTGTGTATATATATATATATATATATATATATATATATATATATATATATATATATATAAAGTGTATACTTTATTTATATTGTTTTAGGTATAACTAAGCTGGAGACTATGGATCCCCCTCGTGTTATCAAAACTCATCTTCCCATCCAACTTTTGCCTCGTTCTTTTGAGAATGCTGGATGCAAGGTTAAAAGAAAAAGGTTTTTTGTGAAGCACTTAAAAATTGTACATTAACTATATGCCAAAAAAAACCTTTATTTCTCCATAGGTTATATATGTGGCCCGTAATCCGAAAGACAGTGTGGTATCATTTTATCATTTTGACCGCATGAATCTAAGACAGCCAGAGCCTGGTCCATGGAAACAGTATCTGGAGAGGTTCATGAAAGGACAATGTAAGCCATGCTGCGGTTTGTTCATTAAATAAGACAAAGACAATTTTAGTTATCTCCTAATATTTAAATTTTTTTTCAGTGGTATGGGGATCCTGGTTTGATCATGTGAAAGGATACTGGAGGGAAAGGCACAAAAGGAAAATCCATTACATGTTCTTTGAAGACATGAAAGAGGTCAATCTACTTTCTACAAAGCCTTCATTCAGCCAAAGTGTTATGGGGAGCTCAAAGGGGGCATGTTAAAGTCTGGGTGGAATCATTTTTACAATATTTTTTGGTAATCTGCGTAATCATGAAATTAATAAGGGCAGGTATTGTAGGCTGCCCCCCGCTCACCGGTGAGCAGCATTTACACCAATAATGGTCCAAAGATGGACTGTAAAAAATCATATGTGCTATTTATTTAAAAAAAATTGAGGTAACACTATTGCACATATTATTTTTAAGTAGTTTGAAAACGTGATTTTTTTTAGCAAAAGACACTGAAATGAATCATGTGAAAATTACTAGGTTTTTGAGTGATAGATGATGATTTTAACTCTATTAGTGGAATGTGCGTATATAATTTAAGCAAATAAACCACCATTTACTCATTTATTAATAAAAAATACTCATTCATAAAATGTAACATATATATATATATATATATATATATATATATATATATATATATATATATATATATATATATATAATTTATAATGAAATACATACACAATGCATTTTTTGACAAATATATTTTATTACATGTTCCACTGATAACAAAATGGTACATACAATTTGTTAAAACATATCTATTTAAAATTTACAGCAATGTTAAGCTCTGAAAAAAAGTCCTTTATCCATGTCAAGGAAAAAAATGCTCTGTCAACTTTCTTTTGTAGGAATATTCACATTTTAGACAAACTCTGAGAGAATTGCACAACATATAAAACCAGTATAAAAGCTGTATCTTAAAATAATAGCAACACAATCAGTCAATGTAGTGAAAATTCCCCAAAAGTTTGTAACATTGATTTTGTGTCAGAAACTTATAAGTTTGTTTTAAGGTGATTTTAATTTGGGGAATACTTGTATAAATCCAGTTCAGCAATTCTAGATTTTCCAAGCCAGCCATGACTCACTCATCATCCAATACAATGCAGAAGTCCTCATGGTTGGTCATCCCTCTTGCAGACAGCAATTCTCTGTGCATTCCCACACTGTAAAATAAACATTATGTTTATTATTATGAAATTATGCAGTTGTAAATTCAAAATGTTACACATTGCTGACTTACACTATAGCACAAGTATACAAGTATTTTGACTAATAATGGACAGGGTGTTTTTAAATGTATACTAGGGTACAAAGAAATAAGTTTATAAAAACAAACATATTTCAACAAGGAATAGTGCATTCAACAATGTAGTGTTTGTGTTATATTTTTGTTTTTTGTAGAAATGCAAAAATATAAAAGGCAGTTTTCAGAAAACTATAAGTATCTGAAACAGTTTAAGACACTTACTTTGCACTCCTGAATGAGCTCTTCCTCTTTTTCAAACAAATACACCAGCAACATGTGAGGTCAAACAAGTATAGAAATTAGTAATATTGCCTAATAATAATAACACACAAATAACATGATAAAAAATACCTGCTGTATAGCACCCATAAACTGCTCCTCTTTTGTAGGAAAATACAGTAAACATTTTTTTCATTAATCTGAAAAAAAGCAAACAAATATTAGTATTTATATACTATTATATAAAACACAGTTAATTGCATTACATCATCAAAGCTTTTAAAAAGAACCTTATTAAATGGAAAAACACTAGCTGTGCATAACCCCATTGAATAGCTATATAGCTAACATACTAGCTTCAGCTAACCAAGTTCACTGTTGTTTGTCCACCCCGCTTAAATGTTGCTTGACCAAACTAGGCTCCAGAACAAGCTTGAACAGCATGTGTCTTTCATGAAAGAGCTTATTTTAGACAATAAAAATGATAAACTGTTAATGCTTACCTCTTATCATGCTCACTGTTGATCTGCTCCTTCAAAATGTCATCAGGTCACTGCCATTGTTGAGATTCAACTGCAAACATCTCAATCAAATCCACATAATTGAGTCAATTTTCTTAAAATAAACATGAAGCCATCTTTCCTCAATTTTATCAGCTTAATTTGTTTCTCAAATTAAGGCTGATAATTGCACTGGTTTCCTTTAAAAAAATAAGTAAAATGTATCTCTTGATTTTATTAGCAAAATATTCTCAATATTTTATAATAAATCCAGAATATCAATTTTTAAAATAAAATATGACCATTATTTTTAATGACCACATCAATTTTTTTAATGAAAATTACAAGCCTCAAGATTCATTTTTTTACAGTGAAAACGATAACCCTTACAACAAAGGCTTTCTCATTTACCTGCGTAGCTGGAGTCAAGTCAATGAGACTATAGTGCCACAGTCTACCATCAAAAATACCTAAAATATAAATGTTGGAACCGGAGCAATGAAAAAACGTCCCGTAGTCTGATGAGTTATGTTTTGTCAGTGCATTTTTATAATGTTTTAGGCAGGTGGTCATCATAATTTTGCTGATCAGTGTTTACTTTCTTATTACCTACCTGTAGCCCAGTGGTGTGAAGTAACAAATTACAAATACTCATGATGCATACAAATACTCTATGGTGTTTGGCTAGTATAGCGAAGAAGTAGGAGTAGAGTACAAGAAGTAGAATAATCAGTTGTGTGATTGCCATCCAATCAAATCGCACAAAGAAGATTGCCTTTTGCAGAACAACCTCATGACAATTGTTACACAGAATGACTGAGTGACTGTTCAGACTGCATGTCACTGATGAGAAGATGACGAATGTTTACTGTATGATGACTGAACTGACCAAATGAACAATCAATAAATGTACTACAGAATGTTACGTTTTCACACACACACACATATTGAAGCACCAACCTTTCACAGTGTAATACTCACTACTCTTGAGTACTTTAAAAAGGGCTACTTTTTACTCATACTTAGAGTAATATGTTCAACAGATACTTTTACTCTACTTGCACTACATTTTGGGGTAAGTAATACTTTTACTTGAGTATGGTTTTTCAGTACTCTTTCTACCACTGCTGAAGCCTACATGTCTGAAAAATTAAAGCTAAAATTGAGCATATTGTATAATTTAGCTATAATTACAGGACCCTGCTCGTGAAGTGACCCGGACTGCTCAATTCCTTGGACGACAGTTATCAGAATCTACAATAGATCATATTGTCCAAATGACAACTTTTTCTGTTATGCGAGAAAACCCCATGGCAAACTACTCAACTCTCCCAGATACAATATTTGATCGTACAGCCTCTCAGTTCATGAGAAAAGGTGATTTTCGTTTTAAAGAACTTCTAATTGATACTTTTTTACAACTTATTCATGCTATTGCTGCTAAATGGGTGTTGCTTTATGATTTGAGTTTATTTTATCCTACAGGTGAGGTTGGAGACTGGAAGAATCACTTTAGTGCTGAAGAGAATGCTGCATTTGATGAACATTACCAGAAAAAGATGGAGGATTGTCCTCTTCCAATACGCTTCACTATATAAAATAGTGAAATGGAGTGTCTTTCAGTCCATGAAACTTGGATAAAAGTGTCAGCTAAATGAATAAATATAACAATGATGTAATTATTTGTGTTGACAATTTAGTTATTTTGTGTGTAATTTATTGTTCTTAATTTGTCAACAATATGTAATTTTAATGTAATACTGAATGAGTTGTAGATGTTGAAGGTTCAAAGCTCTTGTATCCAGTATAAAGGTCAGCTAGCTTCATATCTCTGGGATGCACAGTATACATTTTATCTGTTTACTAAAATTAAAATAACACCCAATCAGAGGGCATAAATGTAATGGTTTAAAATAGAAGTGGTTTAAAAACCTTAATAGCTAAAAAAAAGAAATGCATTATTAAAAAAAATATTGTGTCGGCAGAGATACAAATATACTCTCAGTTGTAAAAAGTGATCAAGGCCTAGTGACCTTTAAACCTGTGCTGCCAAACCTCCAACTCATGTAATGCTCCTGATAAAGTTCTTCCGTGAGTGAGCTTCGCAAACAACGCCACTGAATATAGCAAAACAAGGTCAGTGATATTGATGTTTTTCATTTTGACGATTTATTTTGTGTGTTTATGGGACCAATTTGACAAGTATGTGAACAAAATCGTTGGCACATTAAACAACTTCTCACTTTCATAGGCATGTTGTCCTTCCTTTCTTGGTTTGTACCAAGTGTACCTACTTGGCTAACACCAAATGCTATTCCTTTACATAGTGCTTTACAAGGTGAGTCATGAAAAGAATGATTTATTACAACTGTCAAATATTAAAGGAGTTAATATATTGTCATCATAACATTGAAATGTTTTTGGCATTGGCAATAAATAACCTATTTACACAAATATCTAATAATATATGGATAATCTAGTTATGACTTAAACTTTAAAACTACTGAAGCATAATACAGGTTTAAAATATTTCTGTTCATAATGTGTTCTATTTAATGGCTGTCATATATTTGTATTATGATTTACAGAAGACACCCACTAAAATGCCATTCGGTTTAACATTAATATCAAAAGACTAAGTGCACCTCTAAAGTGCTAATAAATCGCTATTGTAAATATTTATACATTGTCTTAAGCCTTAGGTTTTATTATTTCAAAAATATAATCAAATGTAACAGGGTTACTTATTCTTTTGAACAATTTCATATCATGTTAAAATATAGATGTTGTTTTACTTTGACATGTACAGTAGGACATTTGTTCATCAATATTTTGAGATTTTGTTTTTTAAAAAAAAGAAGTCTGAAACACTAAAATAGACTCACTCTATGTTTATGGTCTATATGAAATCAAATCACCTAATATGCATCATGTTTCTTGTTTATCACAGGGCTTGTGGGTGCTTGTGGGATCTGGGTCCTTCGTAATCTTTTAAAAACGTTCTTGTTTGTTGAAGCACAGAGGTAAATATTCATTTTAAACATGTGCTATGCAAATAGAGGTACAGATGAAGTAAGAATTATTAAACCCCCTGAATTATTAGCTCCTGTTAAATTTTTTGCACAATTTCTGTTTAACTGAGAGAAGATTTTTTCAACACATTTCTAAACATAATCGTTTTGATAACTCATTTCTAATAACTGATTTATTTTATCTTTGTCATGATGACAGTAAATAATAAATTACTAGATATTTTTCAAGACACTTCTATACAGTTTAAAGTGACATTTAAAGGCTTAGGGTAAGGTTAACTAGGCAGTTAGGGTAATAAGGCAAGTTATTGTATAATGATGGTTTGTTCTGTAGACTATCGAAAAAAATATAGCTTAAAGGGGCTAATAATTTTGTCTCTAAAATGGTTTTATAAAAATTAAAAGCTGCTTTTATTCTAGCCAAAATAAAACAAAGAAGACTTTCTCTAGAAGAAAAAATATGAGACATGCTGTGAAAATTTCCTTGCTCTGTTTAACATCGTTTGGGAAATATTTAAAAAATAAAAAAAGATTCAGATGGGGGCTAATAATTCTTACTTCAACTGTATATGGATGGAGACAATGTTTTGTGTTAAAGTTTTTGTAAGTTTCACTTGTCTGTTGTTTTAAGTATTGCAGATCTAGACAAAGACCTTAAACCAAAGAACAAACTAAACGGTGGACTAACAGAGAAAATTCAGTTTTGGATCCTTACAGCGGTTCTTTCTGTTGTGGGGTCTCGTGTTGCATCACTAGTGGTTTTAGAGTTCTCCCTCAGAGCCATTTCAGCACGGATCACAGCAGGATCAGTATGGACAAAATTGATTTATGACAATAAATACATTTCTGCTTGACAGCTTATCATTTAGATTAAATATTGTTCTTTTTGTTTAGGACTCAATAATTGACCCAGTGTTACTGCTGCTTGTCCAGTGCCAGTTCTCCTTGGGCTGCGCACTAACCTGCAGCCTTAAATTTCTCCATGAGGGGGCACCACAAGGCTGGCTAAGCCTTTCTCTTGCAGTTGGACTTAGCTGGTTCTTGGCTACCCGGTGCAGTAGAGTATGGCGGCATGTAAATTCAATGTATCCAATACACAGCACACAACGTTATTGTGGACTATGCATTGGGCTCCTAACCACTGGTGCTTCTATATTAACCTGGCTCTGCACTGCCCTGATTATAACTTTTAGTGTATCTGGAATTGCTGCCATATCCAACATAAACCAACACTTTCTTTCAACCACTGAGGCTCTGAGATTTTGGACCCCACTCACAATCTGCTACTCACTGCTAGTTGTATATATGAATGGTAAGACAAGCAAATGGTTAGACTAAATACATTTTAGTAGAATTTTCATAGAGGCATATAAACAAAACTAAATTCTGAAAATCACACATTTAAAAAAAAAATTGGGTGAAATAATTTTTTTGTTTTATAGTATGTTAAGTAAATTATTTATATTGTAGCAAATTATCTGCAGTCACTAATATTGAGAGTAACTGAATTCTTTAAGTTTAAAAGAACAACATTTATCAAACAATTAAATGTGTCCTGGGAAAACACACAGACACCAAACATTTGAACAACACTAAGCACATTTGATGCTATCATTTGAGTCTAATAAGTGTAATCATTCTTTTAGAGGATCGGAGACAACAGCCTGTTCAACAGATTGTCAATACGGTTGTTGTGCGGCTAGGTGGGCTTTTCGTGTTACTGATTACAGTGGGAACTTGGTCAGATGTCCTCCATGTTATAATCTGCTTTATTGGTGAAGCTGCATGTCTGTTACCATCTCAAGACCTCTTGGAAGCCATATATCAGGTTAGAGCTAACGACTGCATTTGCTGATCTCTCCAGAGCATATATTTAAGAAATATTCAGAGCATTAAATGTAAAAACACTTTTTATTTTGCAGCATACCAGCCATGAGCCTAAAGGACAAATTAAAAGACCTGGTAACCAAGGAGAACATAGGAAACTGGGAAAATTTGATTGAACTTCACTTTATCAGTTGTATCCGCCTTTATGAAATAGTGTACATTAAAGTATTATTTAAGATATATGTGCTATTTTGTCCTTGCTATTATGAATGCTTTAATCTTTCAATATTTTCTTACTAGGCTACATAAACAAAACATGAATGCCATCATCAGAATAATAAATCTATAAATACTGAATAAGTGCATGGTGAATTCAATAAATATATAATTTGGTTTGTTCAGATAATGTATATTTGTCTAACATTATCAAACACTGCCACAAAGTAAAGTTCTGCCTATTTTGGATGAAAACAGAATTGGAGAAGTCTTCCATGATTCAAATAATAGTTACTGTTATTCACTGTAAAGACAGTTCCACTAACAAAATAATTACTGGGTTTTAACATTTTGAGCATGTAACAATTTAATTCAGTCGGGCTTTTTTGGAAGCAGTCAAGCACAAAGCAGTTAAACTGAACTTGAACCTAAAAATAGCTACATTGGAAACAAAATGGCCGCAATGCTCTTATTTCTTTTGTTGTGCTTGCTGGGTTTTGTCTACACTGGGTTATGCTCAAAATGGCGTCATATTTCAGAGAACATTCTTTCGATAACTGGCGCCAAAAAAACACCGACTGAACATTCAAGAAGATCAAGTGCATGTTTTGTTTGTGACGCATAAATCTCTCTGGTATTTAAGAGGTACGTGTTTAATTCTCCACGGTGACTGTTCTGCTCCAGGATGTTTTCATGCGTTATTAAAGGCGCTCATACTAAACATGGACAATTTCTTTCATACACGTTCCACATTCTGCCGATATTTTGTTTATAATCCCATCGATTCCATGGATAAATACATATGTTAAACTTGTTTTAACAATTTAATAAAGCAGTAAATGCCTTCATGTCCGTAGACGTTGGCCACACCGTCTCGAGTTGATTAAAGGGAAAACAAGTGGTGTCCGAGTATCCAGGGGATTCATTTATTGTATAACATGCAACAATAGCCTACGGTTTAGGCCTGAAGTGCGCATTTGTATTTCCAGTGTGCAACCAATCTCAAATCCAATCCCAAAAGAATTACATTTTATTACTTCTTTTCCATAAATATTAAGGATTTAGGAAGATCCAGGAAGTCCATGTATAAATCCTGTGAAGACTGAATCTGAAGATTTTGTGGCTTGCTCAAGATCCAGCTTGAGAAGCATCCACCTCAGTACAAGTTCCAGAATTTTCTGCCAGTCAGAGGGGTTGTAATTGCTCTTTGTCAGAACTCTGTGTGGGCGTGTAAAGCGCAAGCGCGATTCATCCATTGCGGTCCCTGTTTTGCCGCATTCTGGCGCATGCGTGAATCAAATCACACGCCTCGTGCATAGCTGGAAAACAGTCAAATGCTGTTTTTTATACGGAAATGTTATGGGATTGTCATTCTGTCTCTTGCTTTAATGGATTATTAATCACCACAATATGTGGAATGATCATCATTAGCCTATTTAAAATATGATCTGTTGATCTTTTTGTCAGTAGGCTGTACTATTATTAATAATTAAGCTTGCATTGACCAGGATGCCTGTCTTTTTGATAAACATGTAAACGTAATCGTTCTTATCTTTGTAGTTATGAGAAATATATTTAATTATACTAGTCAAGTGGATCAAAACCTTTCATCAAAGATCTCCTAAACAACTGAACAATACCCATTCTTCTCTTAAAACGATTTTGATCCACTCCAAATGTTGATTACTGCATTTATCTCCCATAAAGGCGGGGCTTGTTATATTGAGAGAATCGCTCAGCTAATTCAATCATGCCTAGGTGAAATAAATAGTTTATCTAACAACAGAGTCTCTCGTGACGTATATTGTTTTAACTCGCAAGTAGTAGGTCAAAAACGATCTCCACACGGGTGTTGGGGAAAACAAATGGATGTGCAAACGTATACAAAGCAGCAGTATTAAAGCTATTACTACTGTGAACACCGTCCAGCCACTGACTGTTGAAAATAGTTTGTGGTAAACCTCATTGTAACACCCCAGAAACTATTAGTAACTTGCTTTCAAAAGTCCTTTTGCCAATAGCCTGTAAAATGTTAAACTGCAATCTGAGATTTTACCTTTCAATCTTAACCTGTGAAATAATCCAAAGGATGTGCAGCTTTAACATTTAAATTGAAGGGAACACGTCTTGTCCGATTTGATCCATGTGGTATTCCGGGTGCTGCTCATTGCATATGCGCGATCTCGTCATGAACCGGAGCGCGCTCCTCGACAGCAAGGTTCAGGCGCTCGTAGTCAACACAGCTTTCAAGTGCAAGCGGGTCCAATCGTAGTGTCGAGTCAGAGGAACTACTCGCCTCATCCTAACATATTCAGTCGGATTTAACGCAGTAAAATCTTCTGTATGACCGGGGGACACCACCACGCAGTATGGTCCGGGAAACCAGACATTTATGGGTGGGAAATTTACCAGAAAATGTACGAGAGGAAAAAATTATCGAGCACTTCAAACGGTAAGTGACGATTTGCTGAGAGCAAGGCAACATCCAGCAATGTGCTTTCTTCGAGGGAATGGGCGAAAACAATAGCGGCACACCGGTGTAGAGTTGAACAACGTAAATGTGCGGAGCAACTTTCGCAGGAACGCTGCTATGGAGTTGGCTTGTTTTGGCTGACTTAACATACGCTGGCTAGTGAGTTAGCTTTCTAGAGTCGCAGTCGTCGCTAGGTTGCTAATTAGCACGTAGGGTCGCATACAAGCACGTTACTTGTGTTGCTTCAAAATTGTTGGCTTCAGCTTTAATTTGCATCCTAGATGTCAGCAGCAGTACTTAAAGGCACTTAAAATCTACTGCTCGATGGCTGCACGCTAGTTGAATTAACTTGGCTATATGGTGTCTACTAAAAGGCATTATACAGTGGGTGTTGTTTTGAGCATTCAGCTCAGATGTCATGAATGTCAGGAGAGCGGTGACCGTCAGCGGCTGCATCTTCAAGAAGTTAAACATTACCAGAGTGGACGTCTATAAATAAAAACTTTAATGCAAATTATGATTGTCACTCTGTAAACATGTGGCAGCAGTTTACTTCAACCTGACGTTTAGTTGTCAGAACTTTTTGTAGCGGTGAGATTAATAATTTATACTCACAAATCGTGGCATTAAGAATGATTTTATATTTTCTTAGTGTTAAAACGGATAGAAAGCCAACAATGTCTGCACGTTGTACTCGCATGCTGGAGAGTTTTATTATTTTTCTGACCTTTGGATTCAGGTGTCGTTGAATTCACTCAAAAGTCACCTGATTTATGGTTGGAATGCATAACCGAGTCATAATGACACGGTTTCTTGAAACTAAATTGTGTAAATCTGTTATCTAAGTTCAAGTCGGAAACAGTGGCGAGATGGATCCCAGTAGTGACATCGCAGTATTGTGTATTACTTAATTTAAATGGCTAACGTACGTGATTGTTTATATTATCCTAAAGGTACATTATCACACAGCATATATAGGCTATATATTTTTAACATATCCAAACTTTACCCACATTAATTAGCCACTGAAAGCGATAATATTGAGCAAATCTAAATTGTCCGATTGTTTACATCGTCGCAAAATGTAAACTATATTATGACTCAAACTATATTATCATTCGTGCTTTCTGAAGCATTAAGATATACATTTTCATAAATCTGCTTTGAAACAACGTTTATTGTGTACGAAATTCCCTTGATTGTCTTGACTTCCATTATTGACCACATTCATTACCTACACGTACGCTCAAACACCCCAAGGTAAGGTTAGCGTTTAAAAATGCAGGTGTGACCAAACTTATTGTAATGGTATTTTTGAAAGATATGTACCTGATTAATGCAGATGTTCGGACTTAAGTTTAATGAACATGCCTCAATATCCTAAGGTATTACTTTGCGAGTTGAGCACACAGGAGGTACGCTAATATAAGAACCTGCAAAAAAGATTGAGTAAATAATTAATTCATTTTGAACCCACCGCTTTGTTGTCTCAACGGCAGCCTTTTGTTCAAATGCCTGTCCATTTAAGTTAGCTTTGAATCGTTGTAATAACGGTCGCCCTTTGAACGGGAACTAAATTAAATCCCGCTTATGTTCATTTTAGGAAGGAATAATAAAGGAGGAATTGTTGTCCGAGAAAACCAGAGATAAACGCATAAATCTAGATTTCTAAAATAAAATGCGACATATTTAAGTACCCTGAAGTGATTTGTGTACGGTGACTGTCAAAGCTCAGGTCAGTGCGGCAGAGGTACTTATTGAAGATGGGGGACGGGAGAATGAATAAGCAGTGTGAATAGGTTTGTAAAATGGCGACGGAGATTGTGTTGTGAGTGTGAGAACTGGTGTGTCAGACAGCTGCTCACCTAGAGCACAATTTGAATGCCTATTGTTTATAGTTTGCAAACCAAGTGTTGTTTTAAGCCTCATGAACGCCTGACGTTCATTTACATATGTTTTGTTTATTCTTGTGATGATTGACAGCAAATTAATGTTTAATAAATGCATATAATGTTTAATAAATGCATATGTAGTTTATACAAGCACTATATGTCAAAGTTTCTACAGAACAAAAATAAGAAGGGATGTAATTTTATGAAACCTAGCAAAGAGGTACAAAGGATAGTATGACATAGAAAAAAGCATTACATTTAAACGAAATCTATACATTTGATAAAAATCACTGAAGAAAAAGGCTGCTCTGGTTATTTTGGTGCACCAGACATGGATCATCAAAATCTGATATATATTTTTTTCTTTTTGTAATTATTTTAAATAGCCAAATGAAAGGAGGCATTACTGGCATATGGTTTATTCCATTCATACTGTGCTTTGAGAGATCTTTGAGAGTTGATGCAGGAGACAGGCTGTTTTATTTGAATAGCCTTATTTACATATTGCACATGACTGGCATGAAGGTTTGTTTTCACTCAGGCTTTTGCACCATCTATTCTGACCTTTGCAGATTGGCAGTATACAAGATGTTTTTTTTGTTTGTTTTTTTAACATCGTTGACTGCAAATATGAAGTTCATTTAGTGATGGCTAAATAG